TGGACTCTGCCTTTCGGCCATGTTGCGCCAGTTGCGATGGTCAGCATCAACGTCGAGAGCCTCTTCCCATTCGGCATCATCTCGAGATGCCCAGGTAGATAACGGTACGATCTGTTGTCGATTCCCTCCGCCATCCCCGACCCGCCGTAGTGTTCGCTGGCCTGCTTCGAGTATTGTGTCCGGATGATGCCGTCGAGGTCGTGCAGGAGGGCTAACGGGATGTCGACGGCTGGGTTGCTTGTGAGTCCTGTCGGGTCGATCTCCCAGGTGTCATGTACGTCACTGCCTGGCTGGACGGGGAGGTCCCACGCGTTGGGCTCCCGCGGGTTCCATCCGTTCTCAATGAGGTACAACATGATGGCCGACTGTGGTCCTCTCACGTGACGGACCCGCTGGCCTGCGGGGAGCCGTCGGAATTGCTGCACAACCTGGCGCCATGTTTGTTGGATCGTTCTGCATGGGTCCTGCTTGGATCCACGTCGCCAGCCACTGGTGGGTGGCCTCCTTGGGGGACCGTCTGGCTGGGTCTCGGCCTGCAGCCTTAAGGTCCAGCAAGGTGGTGAGGCAGCGCCCTGGCATGCACGGCCCCAGCGCATCCCCGAGACGGCGTCGGATTTGGTGCCCGTATCCTTCTGCAGCCTGCCCACCCTGCTCGGCCAGCCTACCACTGAGGCGATATCGCCTGGCAGCCCGTGCCAGTCGGATGATCTTGCGATGCATGAGGCGGCGGCGGGTCAGACGCTGACGTCTGGCGTGCCTGGCGCGCTGTGCCGCGGCGCCAAGGTCGGCTCCTAGGCGGCTGGCCGGTGAGCGGGCCTGCACCTTAAAGCAGCGTCTCGCCAGGCCGCGCCCCGCGTGGCGAGCGTCGTCCATGCAGGAGCACAGTACTATGCTCTTCCTGGCGATGCCGAGGCCGTGCGACTTGAGTGCCTCGCAAGTGTCCGCGAGGCACTGCAGGAGCTCTGTCCGAACGGCCTTGTGGGAGCCCTGGATGCGTTGAGATAAATCGTCAATCCATAGTCGACGTTGAAACCTGGGATGTACTTGAGCGATCCTCTGCAGCGCTCGGAATGTCATGCGTTCGGCGAAACGAGTTCCTGATCGTAGACCCTTCACCACGGACCGTGTTGGCTGGAACGGTACGGCGTAGCTACCGCGCTGCCTCAGGGTCCGTGGTGCGATGCGCAGTAGCAGTTCCAGCCCTGGGACCTCCGCGGGAAAGTCCAGGCCTAAGGCCTGCTCGCCCAGGGCAACCCAGGATTTGCGGTCGTAGAACTGATTTGTCAAGGGGCCCATGTCCTTGCGACGCGTGAACGTACCCGGTGAGCTCTTCCTGAAGAGCCCTGTCATAGGCTTCCTTCAGGGCTGAGTTGCCCCTGATGGCAGCGTCCCAGTGAGCGAAATCTGGTTGATTCCATGATCTGATTGCGCCCTCGCAGCACATGGGTCATGAGCGTGCGATCTCTGGGAGGAGGCCGATGGCGCGGTCACGGTTATCCTTCTTGGCACGCATGACTCCGATGGTCATGAGCAGCAGGTGCGGCCATGCCTGCAGCTGCTCCATGAGGTTGACTAGCTTCGATAGATCCTCCAGTGCATCACCAGGCAGCCGTAGTAGGTCGGTGGGACTGAGCCTGTCCGCTCCCTGACTTGTAGAGGCCCGCTGGCGCTGCAGCGCGCGGCGCGCGTCGTCTCCCTTCAGAGGAGGGAGTCTGCCCTTCTCCTGGAGCTTGAGATGGATTCCGTCGAACATCTCGGTGAGGCCCCCGATATCCTGTCCTGTCGGGCACCGCAGCTGGTGCCAGCTCGTGACCTTGTGGTCCAGGATGTCCTTCGGGCGGACAATGGTTTCGATGCCGACGAGGATGGGCTCCGAAGGAGTGGGCTGAGGCAGCAATGCGCGGTGCCGCGTGCCCAGCGCTGGGCCCGTCACCGCCCACTCTTAGAAGTCGCGCAGCGACCTCGCCAGGGTGCGTCGCTGCGCCCTGTGGCTGACCACTCCCGCTGCTCCAGCGAAACTGACGATGGTGCCGACGGCGGTGGTCTGGATGTGCTTCAGCAGCTGCAGCCACTGGTCCCGCTGGTAGCTGTCCTGTGGGCGAATCATCGTAGCTGCTCCTGGTTGGGCCTCCTGGCGTAGGCGCTCCACTGCTGCGCGAGGCTGGGCGAGTTACTCATGCCCCTTCCCTCGCGCCTCGAGTCTGTAGATGTCGTGCAAGGTAGTGTGTAGCCGAGTCCACCGCGAACTGCTCTGATCCCGCAGTGCCGATGTTCGCTTCGACTGTCTCTCTCTCTTACTGTGGCGATGTGAAACTCTGGGTTGTTTGCACGCGAGCATCCAAGAAAGTCCTGCCGGTGGTGCTCGTGGATGGCTGCTTCCGCCGCTGAAATTCAGGATCTGCGCAGTTGCCCGCTCTGCGTTGGACAAACTGGCTTGAGCCAAAGTGTTACGGAGGAGTTGTCCGCACCAGAGGGAGCACAGAGGTCGGGGTTCAACATCCCCCTTTGCGACCGATGCTCATGCCGCAACTCGCTGGGCATGTTATAGTTTGGCTGGATTGCACCCTTGGGCTCTCCTCCCTGTGTATTACCAGCTAGCGGGTGTTTCTCACGCCGGGCCGAATCGCTTGCGCTGGGCTCGGTGCCTCGGAGGATATGGCGGAATTGTCTCCTTCGGGTCCTCTCGCGCTGACTGAGCTCGACACTGGCAGGCGATACTGAGACGACGGGCGTGCATGTATTGGCTGATGCAACGAGCGGTGAGCTTCGCTGTTTTGACCACCCTCCCTTTGAACAGCCGAAAAAACATGGCTAGAAGATGTAGAGGTGCTGTCTTGCTCGCTCCCAGTCGGGCAGAAAGACGCGCTGTGACTGAGAGAGGTCGGACTGGCCGAATGTTGTTGGCTGCCTGGCATGTCGGATGCACTGCAGGTGCCCGACTGGGGCACCGAAGCTGAAGCAACAGGAACAGGTGCGGCAGCAGAGGCAGCGGTGGGCAGGGAAAATGCATGCTGAAAGTTGGTCTCATCAGCCCATGGGTCCTCTTCGTCGGACTCCACCTGTGCTCCCTGTGGCTCCTCCTCGGACGTTTCGCCGGCGTCCGTGGAGACGTGGTCGGTGTTGCCGTTCTCCCACAGGTCCCCAAACCGCGCTGTGTAGGTCTGCTCGCGCTTCTGGGTGCTGTGGATGGCTTTGTCTCTCCGTTCTGCCCTCGCACGGCTGGACTGGGACCTTGGCGCGGGCGCGCATGTCGGCCGAGGAACTGTTGGCAGCCGACGCGGGAGGCTCATGATCCCAGTGAGGAGCTGCTCCCCTGCTGCCACAAAACGCATGCGTAGTGCGAGGTGCGGCCGCCAAGGTACGTCAGGTACTGTTGTGATCTCGGTGACGTATGGCTGCGCTGCTATGCTGATGACGAGATAGTCCAGGTGGGAGGCCTGATTGCCGCCTCCTGGATCATACGCGCACTCCACGTCTGCGCATCGAATTGGGCCGCCTGCCTCGCCGAGGAAGCCCGAGGCCTGGAGCTCATGCTCCTCGAAGTCCAGGTCGGCGATGTCCTCGAAGAGCCGGGCGTCCCAGGTCATCGAGAAGACAGGTCCTCCTGGACCAGCCGGGTCGTCCTTCTGCTCCGCGGGGCCCACGGTGCCGACGCCCTCGGCCTCGGCGAGCGCGGCGGTGGTCCACTTCTTGACCGCCTCCGTGCGGGCAACCTCGAGGGCCGCCTCCCGCTCCTTGGCCTCGGCGGCGGCGAGGCTCTCCCTGAGCTTCACCACGTTGCCGACCAGCTGCTTGTGGCGGTGGACAGCTGCTCGGCAGTTGCCGTCCGCGCGCTTCATGGCCTCAACCGGTGTGTGTGTGTGTGGTGTGTGTGTGGTGTGTGTGTGTGGTGTGTGTGTGTGTGTGTGCGGTGTGCCCGCCTCCTCCTCCGCCGTGGCAACGATCCTGGTAATCTGCGTCTGCAGTACGGCCTTCAGCTGCGGGTTTGTCGTCTCTGCCATGGCGCGCTGGAGGTGGTCCACGGCCGAGGACGGTTGGCGGAATGTGCTGCGGCGCCTGCTGCTCGCTGCGCCCGACGGGTCCTTCAGGTGGACGATCTTTGCGGGGCCGAAGGTCACGGAGCGTCCTCCTGGTGACTGGGAGCGTGGGCGGTGCGGGCGGACACGACGAGCACACTTGGGACAGGTCGGGTGTGTCGCATCCAATCGATCATTGTATTCACATGTGCCGCAGCCGCGGCATCTGGTCCATGGTCTCGGAGTCATCCTCCCCCGATTTAGCTATCGCCAAGGTCTGCGATTGTGCGATGCGCAGCTGCGGCGATACCCCTCAAGTACCGCGTGGAGGCGCGGGGGAGCTGGGCGCTATGCCAAAGTGGCTCGGGCCCAGATGTTACTTGAGAACCCTCCTGGAGGGGAGAAGGAGGAGGAGGAGGAGGCGGAGGAGGAGGAGGAGCAGGAGGAGGAGGGAGGGAGGATAGGGAGGAAACTAGCTATCGGATGGAGGACGGATGAGGCAGGAGAGCGGGGCGGATTGCAAGGGGGGAGGAGGTCTCCAGCGTCGACCCCCCTGGCCCCCTTCCCACCCATCCGTCCCCTGTTCTCGTCGCCCTCCTGGCGGCCTCGGCACATCTCGCCGCCACCTCCAAGCCTGAGCTCGAGGCCAGGCTTCGTGTCGGCAATCCGTCTTGCTTTCGTCACCTCTGACTCCACTCCTGCCGTCATTCATTTGTAGTTTCACGCGGGTCGTTGGAAGTAGGTGCTTTTAGGGGATTCCCAGACCCCAATCTATTTGAGGCGCCACCCTGCTTCAAGGATCGAGTGGTTTTACTTTTTCATTCTTCAGCGGCCGGGCGGAAGCTTCATCTACTTCCAGCGCCTTTCTGCTTCATGTCTCTACACACTTCTTCCGACTGCCGGGCAATGCTCCCGTGATGCTCCTTGTTGCCCTCATCCCACGGGGCGTGGCGGCGGCGGCGCTTGTGCGCAGACCCGCCGGAGGCCGGGGCGGACGACGTCGCTCGGGCGTTGGCCGCGCTGCGGGAGCAAGCCGACGCGGCCGAGCGGGGCGTGGCCCAGGCCCGCGCGAGCACGGGGCCCTCCAATGGGGATGGGAGAGGCAGATGGTGCTGGTGGTGCTGCTGGCGATGGCTCCTCCTCCTCCTCCTCCTACTCCTCCTCCTCCTCCCCCTCCCTTCCCCCGCCTTCCACGCCGCCTCCTCCCACCTCCGCCCCCCCTCCCCCGCCTCGTTTCGTCGTCCTCCTCCTCATCGGCATTGCAAGGGCCACCAGTACCATCGAGGAAGTGGAGGAGAGGAAGGCGCGGGAGGGGGGAAGAGAGGGAGAGAGGAGAGAGAGATAGGGAGAGAGCGGGACAAGGAGGAGGGATGAGGAGGAGTGTGAGGAGGGTGAGGAGGAGGGTGTGAGGAGGGTGGGGAGGATGAGAAGGAGCATGTGGAGGAGGAGGAGGAGGAGGAGGCGGAGGAGGAGGAGGGATGAGGAGGGTGAGGAGGAGGGTGTGAGGAGGGTGGGGAGGATGAGAAGGAGCAGGAGGGGGAGGAAGAGGAGGAGGAGGAGGAGGAGGAAGAGGAGGAGGAAGATGGGGAGGCGGAGGAGGAGGAGGAGGAGGAGGAGGAGGAGGAGGAGGAGGAGGAGGAGGAGGGGGGTGCTGATGGGTGCTGACGACGCGGACGGGTACTCTCCGCCCCCGTCTGCGCGGCCCGTGGTAGGGGGACGAACCGCTCCCTACCATCACCCGTCGCAGCACGCCAGGCCTCCGAGGCCCAGCCGCGGCCCCAAAGGACCAGTCCAGGAGGGGCCCACAAGGGCCACGGACCCCAGGAGCCCGAGGCGCGACGGGGAGGGGACGGAAGCGGCTCCTCCCCCAGGGCCCATCGCACCCCCCTTCAAAATTTGCCCACGTTGGGCATCACCTCCAAGAGGCGGCTCTTGCCCTCCTAGCCGTCCACGCCCAGCTCCAAGTAGTCCTTGATGGCCTGGAAGCGCTTCTTGGACTCGTTGGTGTCCTTGCCCACCTGCTGCATGCAGGCGCTGACCAGCGCCTCGAACCCCTCCTGGGTGAGCTTCTCCGTGAAGCTCAGGTCGGGGAAGGGCGGCACGTCGGGCAGCTCCGAGCCTGCCATCTTCTGCCCGCCAGCGCAGCTCCATGGCCTCCGCGGCCAGGCAGTCGCAGGCCCCCTCCTTCCGCTTCAGCTGCACGTGCAGGTAGTTGACGAGGTTGCGCGCCTCCTCGGTCCCGCACTCGCTGAAGCCCTCGCTCTGGGTGTCATCCTTGTCCAGGTGGATGTGGTCGCAAGCTCCACCGTGTACTGGTCCCAGGCCGACGCCTAGGTTGACGGCCTCCCACGAAGCCATTTGCGAGCCTCTCAGAGCAGGCGGGCCAGCCTCCTCTTGCCCGCCTCCGCGAGGATCCTGACCTTCGCACGGGACCTTTTCTGCTGCTTCTTTTCCTCCTCCTTCTCCTTCTACGCTTGCTTCTACTTCCGCTTCTGGGGGGTGGCCCTCTTGCGCTTGCCAGGGCGCTTCTTCACCAGCTTGTGCAGGCCCTCCATGAATTGCTTCTGGAACTTTCTGCGGACCCTCATCTTCTGGCCCGGCCGCTGCACGCGAGGCCCAGCCGGGAGAAACACCATCCCATTGGGGTCCACCTTGGAGGATGAGGAGGAGGAGGAGGAGGCGGAGGAGGAGGAGGAGGAGGAGGAGGAGGAGGAGGGGGAGGAGGA